GAAAAGCCAGCACAGAAGCCTAGTAGCAAAAACAGCCACAAAGGGCACCTGTGCTGGTTGGGAATGGGGCCAGGGTCCCTGCTCCCCTCTTTCTGTTCTTTTTTTTTTTTTTTAATTAAAAAATTTTTTAAATGGTTATCTATTTTTTTGAGAGAGAGAGAGAGAGAGAGAGATAGAGAGAGAGAGAGAGAGAGAGAGAGAGACATAGTGCGAGCAGGGGAGGGGCTGAGAGAGAGGGAGACACAGAATCTGAAGCAGGCTCCAGGCTCTGAGCTGTCAGCACAGAGCCGGAACCTGTGAACCTGGAGATCACAACCCCAGCCTAAGTCGGACTGGAAACTGACTGAATGAATCCCCCCGCCCCCCCCCCCCCTTTCTGTTATGTACAAGAGACACTCTGGTAAGTTTCCTTTAGCAGTTACATGTAAATTTCAGAGACTTTCCTAAGGCTCCTAGGAAAATGGAGTTGACTTTCTGGAATCTCAGGTTCATTCTCTCTTATATGTCTTTATATTATACAGTCACATTTATTTATTTTTCCTTCTCTCTGCAGAACGCTGAAATCCTTTGAACCAAGCAGTCTCCGAAGCCTAAGTCTCAACCAGGGTTTCTCAATCTTGGCACCCACACCTGGGACAGATCATTCTTTGCTGTGGGAGCATTATAGGGTGTTTTTAGCATCCCTGGCCCCTGCACTCTAGATACCCGCAGCATCCCTCAGCCCATCACTGTTGTGAAGGCAAAAGTATCTCCATACTTTGCCAAATGTCTTCTGAGGAATAAGAGTGGGCAAAATCGCCGTGGGTTGAGAACACTGGTCTAAACCCCTTCTTTCATGAAGCCGAGCCTCAGAGTCCTGCTGCCATCTGGCATTAGGGAGTGTGCTCAGAGACTGTTCTTTAAAGATATTCCCACTCCTTGGCCTTGACTGGCCTTGGCTGCATTGCTGGCAGAAACTGCATCCCCTGGGAGCCTTCTCCCCTCCCTAGGGACATGTGCTGTGCTCGTAGGCAGGGAACAGAACCCACCATTGCACATCCCATGCCGTTCGTGACACACACTCACAGTGGGCTTATGGTGTGCCAGCTTTGAGGTGGCACGGGGTGGGGGAGAAGGGTGGGCACGGGACATGAGATGTCTACGCCTGCCCACAAGATGCTGTCTGTAGGTGAGTGAGACATGTAAGCAAATGATGAGAGTGCAGTGACATGTGGAAAGGTATCCAAGATAGACTGTGTTAAATGAAAATAGAAGCTTATTAAAAATGGTATGCAATGCATGATCAGATTTTTGTAAGACGTGCACTTTTGGAAAAGCGTTATGTCATAATGTCACAGGGGCTGGTTGTCTCTAGGTGGTTGGTGGTCTTGGAAAAGACCAAGAAGCAGGAGGTGGAAGAGGAAAGAGGATGCTCTTCCCAGAAGATCGTGGATTCTCTCACTGCTTCTTTCCTTGTGCAGATAGAATAATAATAATAGTAATAATAATAGCCAATATTGCTAACACTATGAGCCAAGCACTGTTGCTAAGCACATTATATAATAACTCATTTAATCCTCGTAACAACCCTGAGAAGCCTGATTCCAGTGCTTATTTCTCGTTGCTTCTCCAAATGTGGCCCGGGACCATGGACCCCAGAGCAGCCTGCTCGAAAAGGTGAGAGTGCGAGGGCAGGGGTGAGAGAGTGAGCAGACCCTGTGCAGATGAGGCTATACTCAGGGAAATGTTTTTCTTCTCTTACAGGGCTCTGTATCTGTGAAGGCAGATACCCTGATTTCTTTTTAAAGGTTTTTTTTTTGTTTCAATGTTTATTTATTTTTGAGACAGAGGCAGAGCATAAGCAGGGGAGGGGCAGAGAGCGAGGGAGACACAGAATCGGAAGCAGGTTCCAGGCTCTAAGCTGTCAGCACAGAGCCCGATACGGGGCTGGAACTCACAAACCACGAGATCATGACCTGAGCCTAAGTCAGACACAACCGACTGAGCCACCCAGGCGCCCCTGATTTCTTCTAACTTATTGATATATTCTAAATTCTCTGCAATCTCCACTATTTTTTTTTTAAGTTTATTTATTTGTGAGGGAGAGTGAGAGGGAGAGAATGAGAGACAGAGTGTGCACAAGCAGGAGAGGGGCAGAGAGAGGGAGACAGAGACTCCCAAGCAGGCTCCAGGCTCTGAGCTGTCAGCGCGGAGCCCAATGCGGGCTCCCAGCGCAGAACCCACAGACTGCGAGATCATGACCTGAGCCGAAGTTGGATGCTTAACCGAGCCACCCAGGCGCCCCCAGCTATTTCTTTTCATTGGAACGGAAGAAGGGAAGGCGTGTGGTTTTGTGTCGGCGGGCTCAGGGTAATGATGGACTTTACAGACTTGTAGGAGGTTGGGAGAGGGACCAGATCGTTCTGCTTTGGGGCACTGAGGAAAAGTCACCCAGAGGAGGTGACCTGTGACCTGAGTCTTAAAGGAAGTGTGTGAGCTCATCAGGTGAAGCTCACCGGATGTAGAAAAGGCCAGGCATTGTGCTTGGAACACCCTGGACCATGAGTTTAGGAGTGGCCTGAGGGGAGCACGGGGAATGAAGCTGGGGAGTGGATACTCAGCAGCTGGGGTCATCATTCTGAGAGGACCGGGGAGCACAGAAAGTCTTAGGAGGGCGAGGGACTGGAGGGACTGGTTGGGGTGCTGGTTTAGAGGCTCAGGCTGGCGCGGCATGAAGGGCAGACAGTCTAGGGGCAGAGAGGCCAGTGAGAGGTGTTGGCAGCAGCCCTGATTGGAACTGAGGAGGGGCCAATATGGCTAAAATGGAAAAGTGCATATGGGTCTAGAAGATTCAGACCCATGTGGGTTTTAGCACCCCCTCTCCCCACCCGCCTCCCCTCACTTACTAGCTATGTAACCCTGGCATTCTCACTCAGCCTCGATGACTTAGCTGAGGTGACAGCTAATGGGAAAAGCAGATGGCCGGTGACATGTGATAAGCGGGTACAAGCGGTAACTCTCTTCTCCACCCGCTTGAGGCAGAAGCTGGTCACCGATTTTCTCCTGCGAGTCGCCCAGCTGGTGCCCAGGAAAGTGTGAGGTTGCTTGCTCAGGAAGGGTCTACGAGCACTCTGGTCCCGGCGGTGCTGGGCCTGGCTGGGTCCTGAGCCCAGCCACATCTGGTCCCTGCCCTTGGGGAGGTCACCATCAGCTAGGAGAGAATCACAAATAGAGCCACGATGCCATGTGAGAGTGCGCCCAGGCCAGCTTCTTATGCATAAGGCCTTAATTAACCCTCATAGCTACCCTGGGAAGGAGGGGCCATGATCTCCACTTTATAGATAAAGCAACAGCAGGTCCAAGAAAAGGATGTGGCCAGGGTCTTCTTGCCTGGAGGTGGCTGAGTCGGGACAGAACACAACCTGTCCAACTCCAGGGCCTGGTGTCCAGCCTGGGCCAGGGGACTCAGATTTAAGCAGGGTCAGGGGTGTCCCCAAGTGGGGACCTCCACCTCACCAACTTGTGACATACCCCCGGGCCTACTGACGGAGGAGTGGCGGGGTCGATGGGTCCTGATCAGTGAGGGGCTCACGCCCTGCATGGACGCCTGCCCCTGCAGGAGTGAGTGGGGCGGGGTGCTTCAAGGAGGAGCTTCCTCCTCTTATCTCTGTCCTCGGAGCAAGTCCATGAGGGCACCACGGGGGCTGCTGGGGGCCTTTGGTCCCCACCAGCTTGTCCCCACCTCCAGATTGAGAATAGCAAAGCTGAAGGAGGTTCTGGTCTGAGGTCAGCCGCTTCTCAACTCTCTGTAGGCCTCCCGAGCTTCCTGAGGCTCACACACAGCCAAGATGAAAAGGACCTCACAGTCAGAGGAGTCTGTGCTCAGAGAACACTAATGCTCTTGGGTGGCATTTCCTTGGAGACGAGGAGGGAAGGAACCAGGGACCTGGGCCCCGCTGCTGACCTGCTGTATGACTGAGGCCGTGGTTTCCCCTCTCTGAGCTTTAGATCCCAGCTGGACAGGCTGCTCTGACCTTCTGTGTCCCTGGGCTGGAAGGACAGTTGGTCACCACCAGTTTGGTGGGGAACCATTGGCTGTGGCTGAGGGGAATGTGGCCCAGTCCCCTGGCTTGTTGGAGCAGCAGGAAAAGACAAAAGCAAAACCAGGGCCTCAGCTAGTCCAGGGGCTGGCTCTCTTTGACCAACATGGATCTGTGGAGGTTTAACCAGCCTGTGATTTTGCCCAGGCTTTGCACTCACGACGCCCCATTCCTGATGCTCTAGGAGTCCTCAGGTGTCCCCCTGTAGAAGACTCCATACACCTCCATACGCCTCACCCGACCTGCAGACTCCTAAATCACCTGTCCCCCCAGACCGCCTTTAGCCTGCACTTGGTAAATGGCCTAGCACTTAACCTGCCCCACTTAACGCATTCAGTCCCAGAAGACCTGTGAGTTGGAATCATCAGCCCTCCTTTGCCACAGAAGGAAGAAGGTGCAGAGAAGTTAGGTCACACAGCAGGTGGGAGGCCCTGCTCCCAAGCCCCAGTGTCCCCAGCCTCTCAGGGCCAGGGCAGCCACCTCCTGCAGGGACTGGGGGAAGCGTGTAAATGCCAGCCGTTATTTCTGAGAACGCCTTCCTCCTCGGGATCTGAGGTCCTGGAGGGAGGCCTGCTCTCAGATTCAGTGCGCTGAGAAGCAAAAGCCAGTCACTACCAAGAAGTATGCGGTAAACCCTCTTTGGGCCTCAGTTTCCCTCTCTGTAGAGTGAGAGCGAGGAGGCATGGGCTCAGGTCTCCTAGAGCCCTCTCGACCGGGACTGAGGTTTGGTGGCTCTGGGAGGAGTCCGTCTGGGCTCTCAAGCCCGCTCCAGTGGGGCAGCGGGGCGGGACGGCTGCGAGGACAGCCAGCTCCCGATGGTGGCCACCCCTGCCCGTCGCTCCCCGCGGCCTAGAAACCCTAACCCCTCCCTCCCCGGTCGCGCTGTCGCTTTAAGGTCGGGCGGGGCCGGCGGCGCCGAGGCGCGGCACCTGGAGCTCCCAGAGCAGCCACCCGGAGTCTCTGGCCTGACCGACGGCACGCGAGGACCGGGATCGCAGGGGAGGTGGGGCGGCAGGTGCCCCCCCAGCTCGAGCCCGAGTCGGGGGCGGAGGACGAAGCCCGGCCCCGCACACGCCTGGCGCCCCAGAGCGCCCCTGCAGCTCGCAGAGCCCCTGCGGGGATCACAGCCCCCCCTTTCCCCCCCCCCCCCCCCCCCCCGGGGCCGCCCCCGGGGGGTGGGGCCTGCTGGGCCCCTCGCGGCCCCGCGTGGGGGGGGGGGGGAGGGGGGGGGACGCAGGGCGACTGGGGTTGGGGGGGGGGGGGGCATTCGGATACCCTTGGACCAGACGGAGAGCCCGACCTTGGGGCTTTCGGGGGAACGCGGAAAACCGGGCTAGGGGACCTTCAACAGGGCTGCTCCCTAACTCCAGGCGCCTCCTGCAAACCCGAGGGACAGCCATCCCCAGGATTGCACCTCCCTCTGGTCCCTGCGCCTGGACCACGCCTGACCACCTGCCGCCTGATGGCTTCATCTGAGGTGGGTATAAGCTTCCTCCTCTCCTTCCTTCCCGAGCATCTCAGCGCCTCCTAATGCTGACCCCGTCTGGACCCCCCTCTCTTCACCTTGACTTCAGTGGCTTGGCGGTGCAGAGTGGACACCCAGGTCCTCTTCCTGTGTTCTAACTGGCCGGGTGGCCTTGAGCATGGCAGTCAGGGCCTTAGTTTACCCAGAAGTTGATTGGGATGGTTTGGACCACTTCCTGTTCAGATGGCTTAGCTCTTCCGGAAGGGTGGCACTTGGAGTTCCCTTGTTGGTTGCAGAGACAGTGTAATGGTGCCCATTTTACAGAGGAGGGAGCTGAGGCACGGAAAAGCTAGATAAATTGCACAGTGTCAGAGTCAGGGTCCATCCTTGTCCAGCTCTGATCACCGTGCTTCATTACAGCTTGCTGTCTTGCCGCCTCGTCTTTACCACTTGCTCTTCCCTGAGAGGCAGAATTTGAGCTCAGAGATGCTGAGCAGTTTCAAGGTCACAGGGCTCATGGAATGGCCGCAGTTAGAGGGAGCGATAAATCGGAGGCAGGGATAGGCCTCCTCTGGCTGGTGGGAGGTGGGGCTGGCAGCAGCAGGTGGGCCAGTGGGAGGAGGTGGTGTTTGGACTGGGTCTTGAAGGGGGGGATGTGAAATGAGGGCCCTGGGTGGGGACAGACGACTCCCCAGGACGAGATCCCCAGGTCCCCAGCATTGGGTTCAAATTTGGCACTGACCCCAGGCAAGCTGTCACCCTCCAAGCTCCATGAGGCTGTTGCAAGGATTCAGTCGGGGGCACCGATAAAGCGCGGGGTGGTGCCCAGCCCGTGTAAATGCCCAGCACACGTCTGCCGCCTCCATCATCACGTACGTAGGGCAAAGGAGAGATGGAAAGGGGTCGCCTCACACGCAGGTCATGTTCATCCTGAGGGGCGGAAGCAATGATGATTCATATGTTGCATTTTTATTCACTTCTGGGGTCCTTCTCTTTTTCTCACAACGAGGAACTATTGCTTTTATAGGAGTCTAAGGGCATCTGAAGTTGCCCTGTGCAGAAACAAGTTCTTCAAGGGTTGAGAAGCAAAGCAATCTCTGGCTTTGGGCAGAGTCCTCCACCTTTCTGGGCTAGGTCTCCTCATTTGCAAAGCAAGAATTTTCTCGCCCTGCCCTACCCACCCCCCTCGGTTGTGGGGAGTGTGAAGAGGGGCCTTGGTATACAGGCAAGGCGTTGTGAACTGTTACTGATCTGCTGTGGGTTTTAAGTGGGTTTTCCAAGCTGATTGCTGCAGCCCTCCCTCTCGACAGCCTCTCGTAGCTGCCTAACTTTGGAGAGGGAGGAGTCGGGTTCATCTCCTCCCCCCTCAATAATGGAGACAGGAGGCACTTGCCCCACAGACCGATTCATAGGAAGAGAAGGGCAGGTGATTTACGGATGACATTTTTCTATACGCTGCTGGTGGTCTGGGGGCTCAGAAAGATTTGGGGTCCACTCTTAGAACACCCCTGCTACATGTATACATTCTCTCTCATAGGTACACATGTACACACACGTGCATGTGTTTTTAAATGTTTGCTTATTTTTGAGAGAGAGAGACAGACAGACAGACAGACAGGCAGACCCAGAACGGGGGAGGGGCAGAGAGCAAGGGAGACACAGAATCCGAAGGCTCCAGGCTGTAGGCACAGAGCCCTACACGGGGCTCGAACCCACGAACTGCGAGATCATGGCCTGAGCCGAAGTTGGATGCTTAACTGACTGAGCCGCCCAGGCGCCCCCCCCCCCCACAACGCGCATGTGTTTTTAAACAGAATTGACGACATGCCCTTTTGAAGTCTAAAGCTTCACCTGCTGTATCTTGAACATGATGCCCCTCGGCTCTCCTAGGAGCTAGCAGCTACACAGCAGGGCATTGTTTGGGTGCAGCATATTTGGCCGGGTAAGCCCTCGTTTGGAAGGCATTCCTGATCCTTGAAGTCTCAGGTCTGTGAGTTCCCCAGCCCCCTGCTTCTCTGACTCAGATTCTGGAAAAGGACGGTGTCTCTAACTTCTCCTAGCAGCCTGCTAAAGAACCTGACCTTTGAAAGGGTAAGGAAACAGGCCCGGAGCGGTCGGTAAGCTTACCCCAGAACCGCAGAACGGGGACCAAGGCCAGGTCTCCACTCCGTGGCTGGCTGTTGCAGTTGCCGAACTCCTGTGTCGCCTCCCTTGTCCTAGCCCCTCCCAGCTGTAAGGGAGGCTGTTCACGTAACAAGTGTTTGCCCAGTAACGCCTTCCCTCACTTAAGAGAATTTCTTCAACAAATGTTCATTGAGCAGCTACTATGTGCTAGGCACTGGGGGATACAGCAGTGAACGGGGCCACTATGGGCCTGTCCTCAGTGTGCTCACTGGCTGGTGGGCAGGACAAGCAAAGGAGAGGCTGAGCACAGTCAGAGAAGTGCTGTGATGCAAGAAGGCCCGGGGCACTTGATGTTGAAGTGAAGGCTTCTTGGGTGAGGACCAATCTGAGACTTGAGGGGAGATAATGGCAAGTTATCAGACAGAGGGAACAGCATGTACAATGGCCTAGAGATTGGCTTTGGGGACAACGTGGACGTGGGTTTCAGCCTCTTCCTGTCTGTATGCTCTGGGGCCAGTTTTGCTCCCAGTTTGCGTTTTTCCTGTGCATTTTTTCTTTATCTGATTGACATGCTTCCCTATGCGTAATTTGGCATACAAAGCTGAAAAAAGAGGGGCGCCTGCGTGGCTCAGTCTCCTGAGCATCTGACTGTTTTTGCCGCTCAGGTCATGATCCCAGGGTCGTGGGATCGAGTCCTGCTTCCAGCTCGTGCCGAGTGTGGAGCCTGCTTAAGATTCTCTCTCTCTCTCGGGGCGCCTGGGTGGCGCAGTCGGTTAAGCGTCCGACTTCAGCCAGGTCACGATCTCGCGGTCCGCGAGTTCGAGCCCCGCGTCGGGCTCTGGGCTGATGGCTCGGAGCCTGGAGCCTGTTTCCGATTCTGTGTCTCCCTCTCTCTCTGCCCCTCGCCCGTTCATGCTCTGTCTCTCTCTGTCCCAAAAATAAATAAACGTTGAAAAAAAAATTTTTTTTAATAAATAAATAAAGATTCTCTCTCTCTCAAAAAAAAAAAAAAAAAAAGCTGAAAGAAGGAAGATATACACGTCTCCCCTGTTGTTAAACACTTGTACTGAGCTTGTTTTTTCAGACGAGTTGTTAACATCCCATCTAGAGGGTACGCCATGGTTTATTCACCAGTTGCCTATAGTTGGACGTTTAGACTTTTTCCAAATTAGGACCATTATCCATAAGGCCATGGTGAACACCTTTTTGCACAAAGGTGCCTCAGGTCGTGCATTTCAACTCGGGACTTCACTCTTGCTCCTTTACCCGCCCTGGGTTTCGGTGCCTTCCTCTGTCAAATTCGACCTCTTGGGATTGTGACCAGGGGAGGTGAGGCAATGCAGAACCGGCAGGTCTCGACCCTGAAGGCCTGCTGGACTCAACAGGTGTTCACTCTCTTCCCTCCCAGCCTGTAGTAGACGGGGTGGGGGTGGGAGTCATACCCACCAGGCTGATGGGACCTATGAGGCCCGGAGAGGCCCAGAGTGAACATAGCCACACTTACTGAGCTCCTGGGCCCCAGGCATGGTGCTGGGTAACTTGAGACACATTCTCTGCGGCCTTCGAAACGGCCCTGCAAAGTCGGGAGTGTCATCTCCGTTTAACAGATGAGGAAACTGAGGCACAGAGGCGTCAAATGGCCTCTCCAAGGTTACACCGTGACCTCAGACAGGGGAGGACTAAAACGTGGGTCTGCAGTACCCCAGCAGGCCTGCCTCGTGGCCCATTACCTCCCGTCTCCCCTTCTCTGCGTTCAGACGTGTGACGTGAGCCGAGCGGCCTCCACGCTCCATTACTGCATGACGGTCAGCGGCACGGTGCTTCTGGTAGCTGGGACACTCTGCTTTGCTTGGTGGAGTGAAGGAGAAGCAGGTGCTCAGCCCGGCCAGCCGGCCCCTCCCACGGGGCATCCGGTGCCTCAGGCCCCCAGTCCCCTGCTCAGGTCCGTTAGCTTCTTCTGCTGCGGTGCAGGCGGCCTGCTACTACTCTTCGGCTTGCTGTGGTCCATCAAGGCCAGCACCCGGGGGCCTCCCCGATGGGACCCATATCACCTCTCCAGAGACCTGTACTACCTCACCGTGGAGCCCTCGGAGAAGGAGAGCTACAGGTCAGCAGGGCAGGGTGGGGGTGATGGGCGGGAGTGGTGGATAAAGCACTGTCATCAGCAGAGTCCTGGAGGGGTTTCAAGCCCTTTGACAGACTTTGACAAACCAGGGTAGTTAGAGCTGTCAGAGAGGGACGGACATGGTCCTGTAGAGACATGGAGAAATCCCAGAAGGCTTCGTGGAGGAGGTGGCAATTGAGCTCAGCATGGTACATACAGGGCAGAGTAGCAGAGGGGTTAAGAGCCCAGGCCCAGGGGTAAACCTCCTGGAATCCTCTCCTGGTTCTATCACTAACTAGCAAGTAGGACTTCAAGTAGATTGTACAACCCTACCGAGCCTCAACTTCCTCATCTGAAATAAGACAGGAATAAGAATAGCACAATAATAGCAAATACCTGCACTTACCATCTGCGGGACACTGTTCTAAGTGCTTTTCATATATGTACTCATTTTGTTTTCCCAGCAGCTCTCTGAAGTAGGGACTGTTATTAACTCCATCTATAGATGAGGAGCCCAAAGTGCCAAGACATTAACTAACTTGCCCAAGGACACCCAGCTAACGTGTGTGTGAGTCGGGACTTGAACTGAGTCTGCACCCTCACTGCTCCCTAGCTCAGGGGACATGGGGGAGAATCCAATGGGATGATGTCTGTGTAGAACGTAGCCCGGTGCCTGGCACACAGTAGGTGCACAGGAAGTGTCAGCTGTTCCTGAAGTGGATAATGTAGAGACGCGGTTGGGACGGGCCGAAGAGCATGTGCAAAGGCTCTGGGGTGGGTTGGGGGTGGAGACAAAATCTTGCATTAAGACCGTATTTCTCAACCTTTTTAAAATTATCTCTCCCTCTAAGGAGCCTTTTAGGTATTTTTTTTTTCAATGTTTATTTATTTATTTGTTTGTTTTGAGAGAGAGAGAGAGAGAGAGCGTGAGTGAGCCGGGGAGAGGCAAAGAGGGAGGGAGAGAGAGAATCCCAAGCAGGCTCCAGGCCCCGTGCTGTCAGTGCAGAGCCCGACGCGGGGCTGGAACCTGCGAACTGTGAGATCATGACCTAAGCCAAGATCAGGAGTCTGACCCTTAACTGACTGAGCCACCCAGGTGCCCTGGCATTTTTTTCTTAATCCTACACACCCTCCATGAAATTTTCATACCACAGATATATTGCATATTTGTCTGCTCTGTATGTATCTCTGTATTATATACATCTACAGAGCATCACCAAGATACCAAAAGCTCTTTTTTTTTTTTTTTTTTTTTTTTTACCTGGGGGAGAAAATGATGCATTATGTGTGCACTTGTTAAATATGTATTCATTCAGTCAAGCATGGGCAGTGCCTCCATATTGGGCGGCCCGCATGCATCCCCGGTCTTGTCTGCCTGCAAGGTAAGAATTTCTGTTGCCGTTTATGGAAGAAGAAGGTGAAGGTTAACACAGCTAAAAAGTGGCAGAGCCCGCTGGCTGCAAAGCTTGTGTGTGTTAGGGGCTAAGTCAGACACTAGCGAGCTCGCCTGGGACCTGGACACCTTTCTTCCCTTGGGGAGAGGGAAAAACAGTATTGCGAGTTAAAGAATGTAACAAATTCTTCCTGCTACTGGCCTGCGATTCCCTGGGGTCAGAGACAATAGAGTATTCACCAGGGGCCATTTGGTACAATGGTCTGGCCTTGGTTTGACCCAACTGTGAGAGAGGGACGGGCAGGGCCTCCAGCCAATCCAATCCCCTCACGTCTCAGATGAGAAGCCCGGGTCTCAGAGAGACCAATGACCTACCTGGTCACACAGCGAGGTGGTGGGTGACTGGAGGGGAACCAGGCCACACCTCAGGGTGCTGCAACTGTAACCTGTTCCTGCTTGCCCTTCTAGCCTGGCCGGACTGCTGGGGGCGGATGTTGTCTGTATACACAGCCGTGTTGACTCAACAGCGTCTGTCGGTGGGGCCAGTTGGATTTCATTCCCAGCAGGGCTGGGGAAGAAGCCTACTTGGGCGGGTGCTCATGGCCCATCAGGTTCGGAGACCCAAGTCTTAGGTTCAGAACTAGGATGGCTGGATGTCGGGGAGGCTGCTTCTGTTCATGCCCCTTTCTTGTCCCCGAAAGCTGACACAGCCCAGCCTTGCTGCTGGTGAGCCCCGCATCTGACCCCGCTGGTGGCTGGACAGGAGGTCTCCCAGGGCCCCTGTCCTCAGTGAGTATAGCAGAAAAAGCACGGGTCGGGGCGCCTGGGTGGCCCGGTCGGTTAAGCGTCCGACTTCGGCTCAGGTCATGATCTCGCGGTTCGTGAGTTCAAGCCCCGCGTCGGGCTCTGTGCTGAGGGCTCAGAGCCTGGAGCCTGTTTCAGATTCTGTGTCTCCCTCTCTCTGACCCTCCCCCGTTCATGCTCTGTCTCTCTCTGTCTCAAAAATAAATAAACGTTAAAAAAAAAATTAAAAGAAAAAGCACGGGTCTATTCAGACGTGAGGGTGTCAGTGTCAGCTCTTTTCTAAGCTGTGCGCCCTTGAGCGTGTTACTTAGACTCTCCAAACCATATCTAATTCTTCATCTGTCATGTGGCCATGCCAGAACTTTCTCCTGAGATTGCTGTTAGGCTCAGATGAGGTGATAGATGGGGAAGTGTATGCCTGGCAAAGTTCGTGCACACTTTAGCTTTGCGGCTGCGTATGACTGTGCCTTACAGCTTGCAGTGCACTCTAGTGCCCGCTGCCTGATTTGAGTCTCAACAGTTTGGGAGTTAAGCGTTAGGATTAGGCCTATTTCACAGAAGACGGTGCTAAGGTGTGGGGAGATTCAGGGCTGGGATGGGAAGAAGGGCGATAGGTGCCGTTGGCTTGAGCTTGGCAATCAGGACTGGGGGCTCTGCTGCTTGGTTGATGCTTGGCCTTTACTCATCTGTACTGTGGCTGAGAGCCGAGCCCCCAGAGTTGTCCTGAACACGTTTAGGGAGTTTACACGTTGGGCAAATAGTATTCCGTCCTTGTCCCTTTCCCTTTCCCGACTGTGGTTGCCTGACTCAGCTGAAGGGTGGCAGAGTCGAGGCCAGGCCCAGGCCTCCTGCCCCCCCGGGGCCAGCCCCAGCCTCCCCTGGAGCTTGTTGGCCTGGGGACCAGAGCGGCGGGCCCACCCCACACCCCTGCAGGGCGCCGTATCCAGAATATACCCCCCGTGTGTGTGTGTGTGTGTGTGTGTGTGTGTGTGTGATATGGCAGCTCTGCATGGGGCCTCCTGTTCCCCCAGTTCCCAGCCTCTGGACCATAGGAACAGGACTTGGGGCTGGCTGGGCCACGCTGGCTACTAATGTGACAGCAGGTGGCACTAGGGCCACTCCACGTCTGCCCTCTAAGCAAACTTCCTGCTGTGGGGTGAGCTTCCCTGGCATCTGTGCCCTGCCCTGCCAGCTGTTGCCTGCTGGGGTGGTCCCAGGCATACCCCAAATCTGTCTGGCATCTCCAGGGCTTGGGGAACCAGGGAGTGGCAGGGGTGTGGCTGGGGCACGCGGGAGGGGAGGGAGACATAGGGCTCTGGAAGCTGTATTACCCGCATTTTTCCGAGTGCTGTCAAAGCTTTTTCCATTTTCCCCTCCCCTGAATCTATAAAATGGGAATTCTCATCCCCATTTTACAGATGAGGAGAAGGAGGCTCAGAGGGGCCATGTGAACAAGGCACAGCACGAGACAGTGGAGTCTAGCCCGCTTGCCTCCAGAAGCAATATTCTTTGCCTGCCCTCACGTGCAAAGGATGCTGGGAGCTGCGGTGGACTGAGACCCCTTATCAGCTCCCTCAGTAGCAGGGCTCCCGGGCTGCCTTCCAGAGGAGGAGGGTCTGTGGGAGAGATGTGTCATAGCACTGGATGGGGAGCCCAGATCTGGCTCCTGGCCGGTGCCCTCTATCAGATTGGCATGCAGGCTGGGGGTTAACCCTGAGCTCCCCACCAGCCTACTCCATGACTCTGTCTATGGCGAGCCTGCCTCCCCAGTGGGTCACTTTGATGGCTGCGGTTGGCCCGGGCTGAGAAGACACGCTGTCCAGAGAAGGGCCATGTCCCCGGCGGGGGGTGGATGCTCAAGTGAGGGGTGAGAGCAGGTACCCAGCACTGCTCCCTACCAGCCCCTGGAGTGAAGTTCCCTCCACTACCTCCTCCGACCCCCCGGGGCCAGCCTCCTGCCATCAGCCCCTCCCCTGTCTACACCGGCAGAACCCATGGTATGCATTGAACTGCTTCCCCACCAGCTCCAGACTGATAACTCTGGGCAAGCGATGGCCTGTATGGCACTTACCATGCGGGTGATCTATGATAACTTTTGTCTCCCACACCCCTTCCTCGCAGAGACTTTTGAGATTTTGTTATCAGCTCCTGTTCACAGAACATGTGCTAAGTGCCCCTTCCCCTGTATTATCTCAATTAATCTTCATAAAGTCCTGGGAGGTAGGTTGCCCTTGCTGTCGTCATTGTATAGATGGGGAAACTGAGGCTCAGATTAATGGAGTTACTGACCCATGATCTACCACCAAGAATGTGGCATAGCAGAGAGTTGAACTAGCCACAGCCCAGGCTCATAACCAGCCCTTCAGTCACTTGGTGCGAGAAGCGACCTTCAAGGTCACTTGGTCAGCTCCTGTATCTGGCAGGATCATCCCCAAAGGGGAATCAGCTCAGACGTGGGATCAATGACACTCCTGTCCCCTGGCGTCCTGGGAAGGGAAAGAAGCACCACCTCCCCAGAGGTGACCCGCCAGGGTTCTGAGAGGACTGAGGGCCAGCCTCGTTCCCATCAGCATTGAGGCTAGAATACAGGTAACCTGTTTTTTGAATCTAACCTGTGGGGGCCGGTCACAGAAGCCACAGAAGACCTGGTCTGTGCCTCAAGTCCCTGCGGGGTCATTCATTTGTTGGAGGTAGGGCAAGTCACAGGAAAGCCAGGCTGTTTAGAGATGGATGTGGTTGACCTGGTAGGTAGTGAGCTCTCCATCTCTGGAGGTATGCAAGTGGAAGTAATCACTTCGCAGACTTGCCATATTGGGGCCTCAAGCATCCAGATGGGCAGAAGAATCGATGTCTCCCATCCCGCCTGGAGTATCTACAACTCCGGATCTTGTAAGGGATTATTACAATAAGCTAGAAGCCTTTCTGCCGATGAGCCATCCTTCTTTCAACAAACATCCCCAGGCACCTGCCCTCAGCCCATGGATGCTCAAAGTCCATCCTTGCCCTCAGGGACAACCTAGGGGACCTGGTAGGGTCAATGCAGTGTCGGGGAAGAGCCCTCTGGGAGCCCAGAGCAGGGAGCGAGAGCTTTGCGCGGAGAGGGGGGACCAGTCAAGAAAGCTTCCCAGAAGAGCCTCAAAGGACAAGTGGGGATGGGCCAGCAGGGAGCGGGGTGGGGGAGGATGGACCTTCCCGGCAGAGAGAACTGAGGAGTTGCAGCGAGCGAGCGCGTGTGGGGAACTCACAGGATGGGGCGGGCAGAGTGGGAGGGCTGCGGTTGGCAGAGCTGACTCATTCCAAGCTCTGAGTGTGTACCTGGGGCCCACAACGGGTTTGGACGGGGTGTGAAGTCTTCCCCAGCCCCAGCCTCCCTTGCTCTTTCCCTGGCGTGCAGTACGTTTGCCCTTGCCCCTGCTACAGCCTCTCTTCTTCTGTCCTGCAGGATCCCAAAGGTGGTTGGCATCCCCACTTACGAGGAGGCCGTGGGCTGGCCACTTGCCGAGGGGCCCCCGACGCCACCTGCCGAGGGGCCCCCGACACCCCCTGCGTACCCCGCGGAAGAAAGCCCGAAGGACTGTGCCTCCGGGGATGCCCTGCGTGGGACCCAGCCCCCCTTGCCACCGCCCAGCTACGAGAGCATCATCAGTGCTGTCAACGGCCTCTCTGGAGAGACAGTCCCCGCCACCGCGTGCTCCTGCCCGGGCCCGGCTCAGATGACAGTGGGGGGAGGCACACTCCAAAGCTGGAGACAGATGAGCTTCTAGTGCATAATACAGTGCCTGGTACCCAGGAGGCGCCCAGCAAATGTTTGCCGCTGAATGCTGTTTTATCGACCTACGGCTGTGTAACAAACGGCTTAAAATAAATCCATTTTATTCTCTCTCGCGACTCCGTGGGTTGTCTGGGCCCAGCTGGGTGGTTTTTCTGCTGCACACGATGCTGGTGGGGCTGCAAGTCATGGGGGGGGACCCAGCCAGAATGTCAGAGATGGCTCATTCAGATAGCTAGCAGCCGGGAGATTTTGACGTGCAGATGAGAAAGTGGGGGCCCTCGGGCCACACACTGAGTTTGTGATCAGAAGAATGTGGGCTCTGAATTCAGACCGCCTGGGCATGGGTTCCACCGCGTGCCGGTTGAGTGACCTTGAACGAGTGGCTTTGCCCTCTCTGCCTTGGTTTCCTCATGCATACGATGGGAATTGGGAATGACAGAGGCGTCGGCCCCTGCCCGAGGAGCTGGGTTGTGACAGATAGACGAGACGGTAGCAGCTGGCGTTGTGAGCTCGCGTTGACCCTGGAGGCGCAGTACTAATGCATCAAATAGCAAGCGCACGTCTTAACCCCATGGCAGGTGTCGATTAGCGCACAATTGGTCTCTGCTCCCATACCTCCTGGGACAGGGAGCTCATTACCTACCCTTACTTTCCAGATCATGGCAGAAATGTCTATTTTCTTCCCAGCTCCATTCTGCCTCCTTCATTTCTACCTCCCCCCACTCGCCAGCTGAGAAAGCCAGCTCCGAGAGGTTAAGTAACCTTCCCAGGGTCACACAGCAAGCCCCGGGGCTCAGTCAGCTGGATCAGGGCAGCATTCCCTGAGGGCCTACTGTATGCCATCTTTTCACATCATCAAGGCTGCCCTGCTACAGGTGGTGTTCCCATTTACAGGCAAGGAAACTGAGCCCCTGCTCTGGCCGCAGAGGGTCCTTGCACTTGCCTTCTCCCTCTCCAGAAGCTTTTCCCCACAGCCCACTCCTCACCTCCCTCCCATCCCTCTGTGCCCCCCTTCCCGTGAACTCCTGGAGCACTCCGGTAACACAGAAGCCCCCAGCCCCCTGCTCTATCGTTTAAATAACGCCTGTCGCCGTTTAACATCTTACCTTTTAAAATTGGTTCTCGTTTCCTTGTTTATTGTATGTTTCTCTCCACCAGGAAACTCTGCTAGAACAGAGGTATTTCTTCCCTTTACCTCGGTGTCCCTGAGGCCTAGAAACGGCGCGTGGCACGTGGAGGTGCTCAGCAACTATTCGCCGACGGACCGAAGGGATAGATGTCGCTACTGTTCTCATTCTTGGACCCTCTCAGCCACGCGAGCCAGATCTTGTGGCTCTTCTGTAATGTTCTCCCTCCCCATCACCAACTCCTGCCTCCTTCCCTTCCTCTCCTTCTCTCCCGTCTGCCCCGACCCTTCCCACTATTGTGGAGACATACACTGGAATCCTGCCTCCACTCTCCCCTTCCTGTGTGATGCTGAGCTGGTTACACACACACACACACACACACACACACACACACACACACTTCAGGGTCCCACACGTATCATGAGGATGTGGAAGGGGGATTTATCAGATCTCTGCAATTCCTAAGGAGTTAATGGGGTCCCAGGCTGGGACACAGAGCCCACATTCCCTCCTTCCCCCAAAATGAGGAATCTCCCCAGCCAGGTGGGTCAGGGAGCTGGAGGCAGCAGGGGTGGGCGGGGCTTATCGGTAAGAGCCCCCACTAGGGGCAGTGACTTGTTCAAGGTCACCAGTGCCTTGGAGGCCGAGCCAGACCACAGAGCCAGTCTTCTTGTGAGGCAAGCCACCGTCCCCTTCTGAGCCACAGTGGCCTGTCAACTGGGGACCCTCCGGCAGGGTGCAGGACGGGGGAGCCCCGTGAGGCTGGGTCTGCCACTCCCACAGCCCCCAGTAGGCACCAGCTTGCTTCCTGGACTCTTGCCTCCCGGATGCAGCCGTCTGGTTTCTTCACCCACCACTCAGGGTTTATATGTGGTGCTGCCACTGGGCCTGGGACATCAGGCCCCTCCCAAGCTGTCCCTGGGCTCCTCCCAGGCTTCTGTTTCCCTCTGGGCTGGCTGGTCACCCTGCCCCCTGAAGCACGCCACCTCAAATCAGTCCTAAATTTTCCAGTAGGAAACTCCCTAGCTACACCCTGGCCCCCACCCTCAGCAACTAATCGCTCCTAAAAATTGTTCACTTTAATTTTCCTCTCCCTAGTCTTCTGCTAGAGCCTGGCAACTGCTCCTCTCTTCCACCACCCTGTTTTGCTTCTTCCAACCTGTTTTTGGAACCAGAGAATAATTGTAGAATTAAAATCTAATCCATGTTACCCTCCCCTGCGTACCCCCTTTAGAGACCCCACGTTGGCCTCTCAGAGATGTCAGATACCTTGGCATGACCCTAGGAGGCCCCCTGCCCGTGCTTCCCTCTCTGGCCTCCCTCTCTGCTGGAACTTCTACCCATCCCTCACTTCCCCAATATCAGGGGAGAGCCTAGCCTAGCCTCTGGGGATACAACAGTGCACCAAACAAAGAGACAAGAGACAAGACAAATAAATAATGTATATAGCATGATAGATGGGGACGAGTACTATGGAGAAAAGTAAATTGGTAGAGAGGACAGGGAACACCTCGGCGGCAGGGCGGGGGGGGGGGGGGGGGGGTTCTGCAGTTTTAGATGTCACAGCAGGGAGGCCTCAACATGAAGATGACATTTGGACAAAAGCTTGAAGGAGGTGCAGGCGGCGGGGGGGGGGGGGGCATGCAAGTGTCTGGAGGAAGAGTTTTGCAGGCAGAAGGAACAGCAGGTGCAAAGGCCTTGGGGTGCCTTGTGTCCTGAGAAAAGCACGGAGCCAGGGCGCTGGGGTCCAGTGAGAGGGGGCAGAGCAGGAGATGGGCTCAGAGGGGGTGGGTGGCACGGGCAAATTATCCAGGGCCTGGGGGCCACTTTGAGGTCTCTGGCATTTACTCTGATAAAACGGAGCCCCCTTCCAGGGTTCTGAGCAGAGCAGTGACATGGTCTGACCTGGCCTTTGGGTTGAAAAGAGACTTCGGGGGGCAAGGGTAGAAGCAGAGACGATTAGGGAGACAGAGATGATGGGGGCTGGGACCTGAGTGATGAGCAGCAGTTGGGGGTGAAAAGTGATTGGATTCTTACATCTTAGAGGTAGGGCCAACAGGATGCGGATGTGAGAGGGGAGGTAAGGATGCTGGCCAGGATATCCAGGTGATGGCCTGAATAATGCTGGAAGGATGGAGTCGACTTGGGAGGCGCAGGTCTGAGGAGGCAGGGGAGTGGAGGGGTGGGGAGGTGCATGGCACTTAGAGTTTTGGCTCCAGCCATGTGTCAGTGCTTGCTTGCCCCCGGGCCTTCGCACTTGCTGATCTCCTTGTCGGAACTGCCTTTCCTGCCCTGACAGAGCTCCAAATGACTTCTCAAGGATCCCTTCTATGAATCTGTGCCTTCATTCCTCCCACCTCCCCAGGCCCCCCCCCCCCCACCGCCAGTCTATCCCTCACTCTGCTTTGTGCATATACTGGACCTCACCCACGTCTCAGAGCCTTTATCTTACTGTGCCCCCCAAGGTAGGACCAAGCGCCATCAGTCTCTGAAAGCCCATATTTATCAGAGCGCCTCCCTCACACTTCACAGAGCATGTGTAGTAGGTGCTCAGCAAGAGACTGACTGGGGACCTGGTTTGAATTCTTGGCTCTGCTATTTACAGGTGTTGCCTCCATGAGCCTCAGTTTCTGCATCTGTCAAATGGGTGTGATCTGCCCTCCCCTCTGCACGCCTCCGAGGATTTCCAGAGGATCCTGAATGCATCCTAGAGGAAGGAAACCGCGGTTAGGGCGCCCTCTGCTGGAAGATGACAGACCTCTGAACCGCTGCTCCCACGACCTCGGGTTGGGAGGAGGGTGAAGGCCACCGGCAGGTGGGAGGGGAGTGGGAAGCACGGAGGGCCGAACGTTTCCAACGCTCCGGACAAACATGTTCCCATTGAACCGTCACCGCGGCTCTGTGGAAGAGGTGACATCAGACCCATTGTACTGACCACATACTTGTCCCAGAGCTTTCTTGTCGCCCCCCCCCTTTTTTTAAGAGAGAAAACGGGGAAAGGAGGCTGCGTCATGGCGAGGAACTAAAAGGTGGGGCGCAGAGGAAAATGCTCTAGTGACTTGGGAGGCTTTCCCTGAAAGTCTAATGACCAGATTCATATATACTGGGGCTGGGGCTGCACGGGTCCCGGTCCTCGTTTAGCCACCGACCCAGTTTAGGGAGATATTGGCCAGTCCCTGCCACTCCCCAGGCTCAGTTTCCTCGCCTGTGAAACGGGCACGATAACGTGGGCTGAGGGGCAGAGAAGGCCTGATTGCCCAGACCGGACCGTGAGCGTCTTGCAGACCGGGTGCTACGACGGCCACCAGGGGGCGCGAGAGGCTCCTGCTGGACCGCGACCACGCAGATCCACTCCCTGCCTGCCTGCGCCAGGACCTGCCCACACGGGCTGAAGCCCCTCTTCTGGGAAGCGCGCTTGTCGCTTCCGTTCTCTGAGCCTCTTTTAAGATGATAATAGTACTGCCCTGGAGGGTCCGGCCAGGTTGATAATCAGATTAGAAAGCACTTGTTCCTCCATTAGGTCACTTCCTTGCACAGTACCTAGGAGGTGGCCTGATAACCACCTGTGGTGTTCAGGTGACAAGTCTCAAGCCCAGAGTGGAGCCACCAGCCCAAGTTCACCTGGGGAGTCAAACTTGGATGTGACCAGGTGACTCTCAGCCTTTCTTGACCCCTCAGCAACCTCTCACTGTGAGGGTCTGTTACAGGGGATCCCTCCCCCTCTCCCTCCCCTTTTCTCCTCCCCCCACCCCAAGCCTCCCCTGGAAAAAGCGTTTGCAAGCCATAGCACCAGGAAGAGGGTGGGAGCGCAGGTGTGGTGCCCCGGAGCGAGCACAGCTCAAGATGGCTAGGAGGGAGAAGGTGGTGACAACAAACAGAACCCCCCTCCTCCCCCCCCCCCAAACCTACTAAGTCACAACGCTATCTGAAAGCCTTGTGTCCCGCGGTGGCAACTCAACCCTGTTAAAAACTACAAGTTACCGATTTCTTTTAGAGATCCTGATGGCCTTTGTTTCCATATAGTCCCATGAAGGAATCTGATGTGTCCCATCAGCCTGTTCCCAGGACTGACACCCCAACACGAGAATGCCATTCTTAGGGGCGCCTGGTGGCTCAGTCGGTTAAGCATCGGACTTTGGCTCAGGTCATGATCTCACGGTTCGTGGGTTGGAGCCCCACGTAGGGCTCGGTGCCGACAGCTCGGAGCCTGGAGCCCGCTTCGGATTCTGTGTCTCCCTCTCTCTCTCTGCCCCTCCCCCACGTGTGCTCTCTGTCTCTCTCTCTCTCTCTCACTCTGTCTCTCTCAAACATTTAAAAAATGCCATTCTTAGAATTAAGGCATCTTCCTAGGTCAGGGTGTCAGTCATTCACACCCTATGGGGGCATTAATGCACAGAGACTTTCTAGGGGACAGCTCTTTGTAAGCAGGTGTAGGGGACCACAGGGTATGAGAAAGGAATAAGGAACCCAGGGAAGCCAGGCCTGGCGGTCGCTCTGGTCCTGGGAGGTGCTGTTATTATCCCCGTCGTACAGAGGAGGAAAACTGAGACACAGAGAAGTAATTTAATCAAGGGCGTACTGTCCCCGCCCCCCCCATAGAGGAGCCAGAACCCAAGCCTGGCCCCCAGAGCGCGCCCTGCAAATTTTCATCTACAGTTAGGCAATATCACATGGTCGCCGGGTGCATAGCCTCTGGGTTCAGATTCTAGTTGCTCTGCCTGTGTGACCTTGGGCGATTTACCCCTCTGTCCTCATTTGTAGCGTGGGGGTAGGAGTAGTTGCCTCCCGGGATTCCCTTCTTTGGGTTAAAGCCTGTGGCACGTTTAGAACAGTGTCCTGCATGCAGGCGCCGTCCAGCAAATAGGAGCCATTTTTCCTGAACCCCAGAGGGGCACACGACCTTGAAGAGTCCGGAGTTCTTCAGGACCCTCAAATGCTAGCCGGTGGGGCCCTGGAATCGTCCGGCGGCCTGCTAACGTCTTTCGGCCGGGGCCTCTTTGTGCCCTGCTTCCCGTGGCCGGACGGCGTGGGGCCACCCGTCCAGCCCAGCTCAGCCCCACGCAGGCAAATGAGGTGATGTCAAAGCCTTGGCCGGGGCCCAGCCCCTGAAACCTCCCCTGCTCCCTCCCTCATGTGCTCCCTCGCCCAGATTCACACGCGCGCACACACGCACACAGGCTCTGGCCGGGCCCAGAGGGAAGGCAAGAGGGAGTCAAGGTGGGGGGGCGGCCCGGGCCCATCGAAGCGTAGCTCCTGCAGCTGGGGCGAGCCGTGCGCCCCCGACTGGAGCTGGACCCGGAGGGAGCCGCCCTCCCTTCCACCCGAAGCCCAGTCCCCGGTGGTCCCGGAGCGCCCTCCTTCTCTGTGTGGGTGTGTGCGGGCATCTGCCCTGGTTCCCCGGCCCTCCAGGCAGCCATGGCTGATGAGAAGACCTTCCGCATCGGCTTCATTGTGCTGGGGCTCTTCCTGCTGGCCCTCGGCACGTTCCTCATGAGCCACGACCGGCCCCAGGTCTACGGCACCTTCTACGCCATGGGCTGCGTCATGGTGATCGGGGGCGTCGTCTGGAGCATGTGCCAGTGCTACCCCAAGGTAGGTGGGGGTGGGCTCAGATGGGCTGCGGGCCCGGGCCCAGGGAGCTCGGGGGCCCTGCCTCTGTTCCTCCTCCTTCACTGGTCTTTTCCTCCTCCCCTGTTTTACTCTCTTTTCTTCCCTCTGCCCTCATGAGCATCCATCCATCCATCCATCCCTTCCTCCTCATCAGGATTGATCAGAAGCCCCCTGGACCCGGAGCCCTGAGCCCTGTGGGAGACACAGTGAAACCCCACGCACAATCATGTGCTTGACATCAATATTAAGGAGCGTTTGCTGCCTGCCAGGCATCCCTGCGCGCGCAGTGCGGTTGTCCTCATCCTGCGCTTTTTGGTACTGTCTGTAGTTCCGTATTCTCTTATCTTTTAAGTTTATGTATTGATTTTTGAGAGACAGAGAGAGAGTGAGGGAGGGAGGGGGGGCGGAGAGAGAAAGAGGGAGAAAGAAGGGGCCAGAGAAGGGGAAAGAGAGAGAATCCCAAGCAGGCTCTTTGCCAACGTGCAGACGCGGGGCTCGAACCCACGAACCGTGAGATCATGACTTGAGCTCAAGTTGGCGGCCTAAGCGACTGAGCCACCCAGGTGCCCCTGTAGTTCCATTTTAGAGTGGAGAGGCACTGGGCTCAGGAAGTGAGGTCCCTCAGCCCCTAAGTGTCCAAGTTGGGGCTTAGAGCTCAGATGTGTGTGTCCACCTCCGAGGGCTATCCCTGTGTCCCAGAGCCGCTGAGAGTTCTAGGGTGGGTCAGGGGTAACTTTGACCATGTGGCTTGGGCAGTGCTCTCTTCTTCGGTTTTATGCACTCCTAGCCTTATGAGTGACTTAATGATGAGAAGAGCACTGGTTTGGGAGTCCTGAGTTCTAGTTCCTGCTCTGTCTCAAACTTTCTGTGTGACCTTTGAGTGTCTGAACCTCAGTTTCTTTCATCTGTAAAATGGGCCCCAAGCTTTTATTTCTCCCAGCCTCCCAGAGTTATTATGAATAACAGAGAAGAGATGAGATGTAGGAATGTTTTATAAACTGTAGGGTGCTGTATTTAGGAGAAGGGCTTCTAATCGCACTGTTAATGGTCCCCCCAGCAATGTGTGGGGCATGTCAGGCGTTGTGATCTGTCAGTGCCCAGGCAGGATGAGTGACTTTTCCAAGGTCACACAGCTGGTCAGACAGTCCCAGGGAGACAAGGAGAGAAGCATGGATTCGAACTTGGGCTCTGTCTCCAACCGCCTGGAAGACTCTGGGCAAACCCCTTCCTTCGCTGAGCCTCAGTTTCCTCATTTGTACAACGCGTGTGTCAGGCAGAGGGTGCCGGAAAGGGGGTGCATCGAAGGGCCCTGCGGGTCCTGACATGTAGGGCTCCAGGCCCCAGGCAGCCCCCACAACCCGCACCCCCCTCCTCCCTCCCACCTGGGTGGCTGTGTTCAGGGGTTCAGGGGAGGAGGGAGGGAGGGAGGAAGCTCCTGGGGGCCGGGACCTGGCTCTCCCCAGCCCTGCCCCCTCTGTGGGCCAGCCCCGGGCTGTCACTGTGTTCGGTGCTGGGGCGGTCTGGACTGGTTTGTAGTCATTCACCGGGCAGTTTACAGTCAACTAGCTTCTGTCTGTGCAATGCCCTGAGTGGAGGTCACCAGGAGAAGAGGTCCTCGGGGCCCCTGCCACCTGCGTCACCACCTCCGTTGTCACCCTCCTCCCAGAGAGGAGGCTGCATCCTGGGGCCCGGCGAGGGGACAGCAGGGGTGTGGAGGGCGGTGTCCTTCCTGCCCTCTCCCCCTTTACCCGAGGTTGGCTCTGGGGGGCAGGTGAGGGCCCGGGTGGCGGTGGGGAGTGAGGGAGCGAGGGGAGAGGGAATCTTACTGGGTATTAATGAGTAACTGTTGATAGATCCACGTGTTCAGCCGCTGCGGAGGCAGCACCCGCTTTGGTGTCTACCAGGCCTAGAGGCAACTCCCTCCTCCCTACGCCCCTCTTCTGTGACCTTGGCAGGGGCTGCCCCCCACCTCCGGGAGCCTCGCGTGGCCCAGTGGGAGGAGTCAGGGAGGTCTTGTATGTGGGGGCCCCGTATCACACTCTCGTCCTCAGAATTGGCGTGTGTGGCGTTGTTGGGCAGGCCTCTGAACGTGTGTGCCGGCGTGTGAGCACCGGTGCGGGGCTGTGTGGGTGTGTGTTTCAGAGACGCAGGCTGTGCGAGCCGGCACACGGAGGCCGGGAAGGAAGGTGTGTTGTTGGCCGGGGAGGTGTCGCCGGAGGAGAGGCCCCCACCTCCCACATTGTCTCAGGGCCTGGGCCGTCGGGGCCCTCAGCAGATGCCGGTGCCCGTTCTCCCCTGCCTCTCAGTGCCCGACAAATGGGAATTTTCCGGGTTGAAGCAAACACGGATATAAGGGAACGGAATCAGCCAGTTAAGATGTGAGAGTAACGTGAATGAAGCGGTCCCTGTCTTGAGGGGCTGGGGGTCTCATGGGGGAGACCATTTTCTGCCCGATGGGGAGAGAGCAGGCTTCACGGAGAAGACGAGCTGGCCTCTGTAGGTTAAGTAGAAGTCCACCAGGCGGAGAAGATGGGGAGAGACTTTCCAGGAAGGAGGAACAGCGTGACCCAAGACGCGAGGTAAAAGGGCAGGGGGAGTGGGTCGACATGACTGCTGCAAGGGGAAGGTCGGAAGGAAGGTGGAGACGGAGAGGGCTCAGCTCCGCGGGGCCTGGGGACACGATTAGCCTTGCAGTTCAGGAAAGTTCCCAGGCTGACATCTGAAGGGATGGAGGTTCGGGGGCAACCAGGCCAGTGGAGGAGGACTACTCCTCACCGGTCCAGGTGAGAGATGCTGGGCCCCTGGACTGAGGCAGAATTTGAACCCAAGCCTGTAGGAACCGAGAAGAACTAGTTCATCACATGTGCAGGGCCTGCTGTGGCCGGGCATAGCACTGGCACGTCTCCTGAGCTTATCTCATGGAATTTCTGAAATACAATTGGTCAGATGTGGTGGTCGGCTGGACCTCAGGCATGACAGAGACAGAGGAATTGGGGCAAATCGGGTAGATGGGGCAGCAGGGATGCTGTGCCCGTAGGCTGAGGTGAGGCAGGGCTCCTGGGAGAAGGGAAGGGCTGGCAGAGAACGCAGGGCCTCTCCCTGTCTGGCTTCCGTTTCTACCCACAGTTCCCCCAAATCCCTCTCCTGCTGGCTCTACCGGAGCCCGGGACCAGGCCCCCGATTGGTGGCTGATGAATCTGTCCTCTCTACGGGTCTCCCTCGCTCCCTCTGCCACCTCCCTTTGGGGACTGCTCACTGCTCTGCCTGAACACAAATCTGCCCGTGTCCTCATCTGCCGAGGACTCCTCCAGGGCTCCCACTGCTTCTGGGTAAAGACTGAACTCCTTAGTCTGATGTTCTGGGGTCCTCGTAGTCTGGTATCCCCTCACCAGTTTCAACTCTGCCTGTCCCTCTCTTAAAAGGACTTGTGTTCTAACATGCT